CAAATTTAAATATTAGACAAAGATAACACAAGTAAACACAAAATGCATTGTCAATTAAATGTATATTTTCTGTATATCAGTCTCTATTTCTAGATCTCTATCCTCAGAGCATTAACCTCGCTGAAAGGACGTAACAGACACGTCAATGCTGTCAATCCGTGATCCCTACAGACGGACCCCCCGCCGCAGTTTAGGTAAGAAACTTTTATACACACAGTTGTTTGAAAGAAATGTTTTCACAGCAACTTAAAGACACATTTGAGAGGGAGAGGGAACCTGTTTAACTTTCTAACACTAGTAGTTTTAATATGATTCCGCTTAGAGCTATCATAACAAGATTTGTTTTAATCCATTAAAATACAATCTTATAGTGTATAGAATCGAGTGTTTTCATGAAGAGAACTTGACATGCTATGTAAGCACAAAGACAGAGTAAGTACCAATAAATAAATACAATTAAGAACAAATAGATATTGTATATTTGCTTAAAGAAAACACACCTTACAAACAATGGTTGCAATCTATTTTTGTTTGTTTGTTTAGATAAAATGAATAGAAAGACTGGGCCTGTCAACTGGACAAGAAGTCGAAGTGACTGACGACCAAGTACAATTTCCATTTACCTCAGAGGAGGAAGTGGAGCTTTTTGAGGATCGCCTTAAAGATCCCTCCAACTCTCAGCTGAAGAAGAGTGTGGTGAGTTTTTTTGTTTTATTAAGTATCTCAATCAAATCTGATTAAAATCAATCTTGATTTGAACTATTGTATGTAATTAACACTGGATAATACCCTGTTTGATGAAAGTGTATTTTAAAACATTCTGTAAAGTATCAGATATTAACAGTACTTTTTTGATCCATTTTAGATTTCTTCCCTGGCAACCATCGGAGGACATGATACAAAACGGGTTACACGGAACATCCTGCCCGCATGTTCAGTGATGATGTTGGGAAGACCATCAACTGGAAATTGGGATAAATGGGGAAAAAGTCCTTCAGCCAGATGGCGTCAAAGACTTTGCTCCTGCGTAAGTAACTAATATTTAATGAAAACAATTTGAAGTCCCCCAGAGCTCTTAATAAATAGTGTTCAAATTAGCATGTTTCCCAGATCTTCTCCTTTTTAAAGGTGCTAAATTCAATATTTGAATAGCAACTTCATTCTCTACTCGGGTAGATATTCCTTGACTATATATTTACATAGATAATAGTTATGTGATACATTAGCTCTCAATATAGCATAGCAAACCTTTAAATGTAAGTCAGCCACTAGCTTTTAGACTGCATGTCTGCTATATGTTGCACTGAGGGTTCATGGGATTTTGTCTGATCTGCTTGTGTGATCACAGATGCCGTCAGAAAGAATCATGTCTCACGTTCCGCCACTGATGAGGAGATTCTGAATCAGCAATGAGGTGGTTCAACCTGGCAGCAGGCGGGGGAAGCTCCAGGAGGCGTGCCACTGTCAGCATCCCTACTGAACAAACCTACATGTGTTATACATGTGATGTAAAATCCTTGTAAATGTATTTCATTTAATAAAAAAACTGTTTTTGATATTATTCATGGTTACATTTCTTTTTTCCATTAATACCTATTCAATATATAGGCTGTAATTACCTCTTTTTTTAAGATTATTTTTTGCCTTTTATTAGATAGTCAGGACGGAGAGTTGGGATTAGAACCCATGGGAGCTGCTGAAAGGACTGTGTTGGAGCCATAATGTAGTTTTGTTGTTTTCTTATGTCTTTGAGGGAAACATGGGGTGTGTACACATGCAGTCCTGACATTGAACAGTGGGTGGCACCTTAACCTAAATGTGCATATATGCAAGGGCCTGGTAATGAGGATCAGGTGTGTGTGTGGACGGGAAGCTAGCAGTTTTTGACCGTGTCAAGGTATCGTGTCCATGTAAAGTATCCTGTATTCTGGTACGGTGTCAATATGTATTTAAATAAAAGGATCAACAGATCTAAAGAAAGACAGCGCAGTGGACATTAAATGTTTGTGGAACACGCGTCCGAACAAGTTCTCCCGTTCGCCCTCCAGTGGCTTTAAAATGGATATTTGTTAAAGTCACTACAGACTGTTTTTTTAATTTTTTAGTAGAGGGTTTTATTGTTACTTGCAGAGTCCATTGTCGGATATAAATGCACACGGGATTTTACACAAACTATGCATTTATGTTCTCCAGCGTAACTGTAGATTTTAAGTCTTGAATAAATTCAACATTTTATTATTAATATAGTATTCACACTTTTATAGAGCATCTAGATGTTGGTCAGCTTGATTTGAGATATTTCTGTAGTTTTGAGTAATGGATCCGCTTTGGATCCGGGCCAAATGAGCCGCTTTATGAATGGGTCCAAATTGGAAATGGGCGGATACCGGCCGGGTCTGGTCTGGATCTTTGACGGGTATCCGTTCCAGATCCGTCCCACTGTGCAAGTGGACCCCGATCCGGACCCGTTTTGCGGATGTGTTCCGGAGCCATGATACCCCCAGGGCGGATCCGGAGCCGAGTCAGTTTGCTGGGTTTGCCTCACTGACAGTTAATCACAACCGCATGATAACGAGCCTCAGAGCAGATCGGGAAAAGGAGCAGTGTTGTGGTGGGCAGGTCTGCAGGGAGGAGGTTCCCACTGTACACAGGAGAGACACTGAGAGGTTTGTCACAGTTCACACAACACCGATACAGGTAAGATTTCCACTTCATTATCGCTGTAAACTATCAGAAATACGATTTGTGGCCTGAAACGTGTGCGACAGACTCGCTTCATTTTCATCGGTTTCTCCAACACATTCAGAGTTGGTAAAACATTTGGGTTGTTTGAACGTGTCTCTGTTTTCGACTAACACCCGCTGTTAAAAACAGCCTACATTGTGCAATAAACGTCAGCTGGCTGTTCAGTAACGTTAATAAACCGAAAACTTTAAAAGTTACCTTTTAAAAGCTCTTAGCCTACAGATATTAAGGTGAAGCTGCTAACACCGTTCATAGCTGTAACGCGATTGTGTATTGGTGTTGATGCGCAGGAGAAGCGCCGTTATGATACAAGTTATCAACTTATGTGTTCCGTATTTATAAATACGGAACACATTCCGCAGTACAGCCCCGCCCCCTTATTCACTAAAAAGTATTATTTTGTGAAGTATTATTATTAGGGGTACACACCGTTTATTTTAACTACTACACATAATAGGGAGAACATATATATAAAATAAAGTATGTCTGCTTTTTGTAACATATTTTAAAGTTAGTCGGAATTAGTAGTATTATCCAGTTGTAATTATTAAAGAGGTATTTAACCAATGTTTGCAGTTCCATAAAGTTGGAGGGTTAAAAAAGAGTGGTCATAATTGAGCATATACAGTAGAGTCTGCCATCAATGATGTAGCAGAGGCTGAGATATAGTGACTACAATGAGTCAACCTTGAATTACACCTGCAAAGCCTATATTTCCCATAGTGCAACTATCTAGGGTTTTTTCCCCCGACTTTTTAGAATTTTACAATAGGACACAGTTATTTGCTCAAGGCAAACATGTCAGCTATTCGAATAGAGCTTTGTTATTAAAGCTCATATCAGGCATGAATGGTTGTGTCCTGAGCAGTGTGACGCTGAAGCTCCACCAGCGAACTATGAACCTGCTAAAGCAAACAATGTTTGTTCTACAGACCTTACTAAATGCTCAAATACCTACCTGTCCTCTGTTATATGTTCCCTGCTGAGCCAATGCAACAACATGGCCTTCTTTAAGCTTTTCACTTCCTCTTTGGACATCTTGTTAGGGCGAGGACAGAATGTGGACACTGGCTCTTCAGTCGCTTTTCATCGGATTATACCTGCAGGTATGTGTATCGCATTTAGATTGTTTCATGATCATTGCAGTTGTATTTTGTCTGTTTTCTCAAACAGACAAAGAAGATAGCAATCAGAAATATATTTTTTTATCCTAAGGCAATCTAATTCAGATTCATAAATAAATAAAGAAAAAAGTTGGATATTTTGGGAAATATGCTTTTTCAAATTCAATACATGCTTATTCACTTTCTTGCTGAGAATCAGATGAGAGGATTGATACCACTCTCATATCTGTATGATAAATATGAAGCTACTGCCACCTGTCGCTTAGCTTAGCTTAGCACGAAGACTTCAAACTGGGGAAACAGCTAGTCTGTCTCTGCCCGACAGAAATCAATTCTGCTAACCTAAAGCTCACTCAATATCATGTTTTGTATGGATTTTAAAAAAATGCTTAATCAACGTCTATTTCAAGTCTTTATGCTGAACTCAGCTAACCGTTTGCTGGTTCCAGCTCCATATTTACCGTTGATGAGACAGTGGTATCAATCTTCTCATTTAATTCTAAGCCAGAAAGCAAAAGGGAAAATTTCCCTAAAATGTTTAACTTATAACGTTCAGTCCTTTTTCAATTTACAGAACTAATGCAACCCTCCTACCTGCAGGTACCCACATGCTACCCATCATGCACTTTGAACGGACTTGTGGCTGATTGCGCCTCACGGCGGCACTACAGTGTTCCTGCTCTGCCTCCCAACATCACCCACCTCTACCTGGAGATGAACTACATCAGTGAGATCAACAGCAGCTCGCTCAGAAGCTATGACCAGCTGCAGGAGTTAGATCTCGGAAAGCAGAGTGTGCAGCTCGTCATCAGGAACAACTCTTTCCTCAGGCAGAGGAGATTGAAAAAGTTGGTGCTAGGCTTCAATATTGGCCTTCAGATGGAGCCGGGGGCTTTCAAAGGACTGTTCAATTTACAACACCTCTTCTTGGATTACTGCGATTTGGCAGACTCCATACTAGCAGACAGCTATCTGCAGCCGCTTTTGTCCCTGGAAACGCTCGACCTCTTTGCTAATAAAATAGTGAGAGTTCGACCCGGACTGTTCTTTTCAAGACTTTCAAAGTTCACACAGCTAAACCTCAAATTGAATCAGATTGAACGATTGTGTGAAGATGATCTTGTTGGTTTCCGGGGGAAATACTTCAAACTCCTGAACTTGCAATCCAATAAGTTCTATACCAGCTATAGTGAAGGCTTTGACTGGGAGAGCTGCGGTAACCCTTTCAGAGGGATGGGTTTTATAACCCTTGACTTATCCAGCAATGGGTTTAGCATGAACACAGCGAGGCAATTTTTCAAAGCAATAGAGGGTACTCCGATTGGTCACCTTTTATTCTCTGGATACGTAGGCAAAGGCTTCTCATATGACAACCTTCCCGACCCAGATAAAAGCACATTCCAAGGCCTCGTGAACAGTTCAGTTACCATTTTGGATCTGTCTAAAAACCGTATATTTGCTTTGCAGGAGGCTTTTTTAAGTCCTCTAAAGGATGTGATCATTATTGACATTTCCATGAACAAAATCAATCAGATTAACAGAAATGCTTTCGCCGGTCTTCAAGGACATTTACGATTGCTCAACCTGTCATCCAACCTCCTGGGGGAAATATACTCTCACACATTCACCAATCTGATGGACCTTCGAGTGTTGGATTTATCCAACAACCACATTGGTGCATTAGGAGACAAAGCATTCAGCGGTCTTCCAAAATTACGAGCGTTATATCTGACTGGAAATTCACTGCGAGACCTGGGTTCTCCGGCGCCATTACCAAATTTAGAGTATCTATTTTTGAGCGACAATAAACTGAAATCTTTAAGTAAAATCGTTGCATTGGGCAAAAACTGTATCCACGTAGATGTTGCAGACAACAGATTAACTAACTTGGAGGACGTTTATGATATTTTTACTAATTTCAATCATCTGAAGAATTTCTTGTATGGGGGCAACTCCATCAAGTGGTGCACACCGAGTCCGAAAGTTACTGTACCTCGTAGTAATAGTTTGCAAGTGCTGGATCTTCACGACAGTTCCCTGCATACCATTTGGGCGCAGGGGAAGTGCCTCGACCTTTTTGATAATCTAGAGAATCTGCTCGGTCTTAATTTAAGCCTGAACTCACTTGCGACTCTCCCACAAGGGATTTTCCGCAGCCTAGGCTCGATCATAGAGATCGACCTCTCGTCCAATGCTTTAACCTATCTGCAGCCGGACATCTTTCCGATCGGCCTGAAGAGACTCGACCTCTCAAACAACTTTTTAGCTTCCTCGGACCCGGCGATTTTACAGTCTCTGAGCTTCCTCAGCCTGGCTGCGAATCGGTTCCACTGCGATTGCAGTCTGGAGAGCTTCGCGAAGTGGCTGAACACGACGAATGTAACCTTCCTGAGCCCAATTGAGGAGTACAGGTGTGAGTTCCCAGCCGCTCTCCAGAATCTTCCTCTGCTGGAATACTCCACGATCGTCAAACCGTGTGAGGAAGACGACGAAAAGGCCGTCCAAGATCTTAAATTTGCTCTCTTCATCTTGTCTGCTCTCCTCATACTCGCCGTGGTCCTCAGCGGGATCGTCTACGCCAGTCTCCGAGGGCGCATATTCATCATCTACAAAAAGATCGTGGGTAGGGTTCTCAAGGGCCCGAAGCCTCCCATGGACGAAGTGCAGCACGATGCCTTCCTCTGTTTTAGCGACAACGACTATGGCTGGGTGGAGGCTGCTCTGCTGAAGAAGCTGGATAACCAGTTTTCGGAGGAGAACCTCTTCCGCTGCTGTTTCGAGGCCAGAGACTTCCTGCCAGGCGAGGATCACCTTTCCAACATCAGAGATGCCATCTGGGGCAGCAGGAAGACCGTGTGCGTTGTCTCCAAAGAGTTCCTTAGGGGTACGGTTTGTCTGACTTTCATTTATAGTAACAGGCACAAAGTTACATAAGTCTGCTTCATTTTCGACCATGAAATATTTTTTTCCCTTTCTTTCAAGGAACAGTTTGACATTTTAAAAGATGCACTAATTTCCTTTCTAGCCGAGAGTTGGATGAGAAGATTCATATTGTTCTCCTATATGTTTGTGTTTGCTGACCTCCAGTGGTTGTCACACTTTTCACCTGGCTACTTTCTTGGCCATGGCACAGTGACATATGAGACATTGCCAGCTAGCCAGCAGAGACTTGAGGAAGTCCCCTCCTCCCTGCCAAGAAATAATCCGGCGCCCAACCTCCTGTTAAACCACAATTTGATGCTTTAGCACTTCGGTTATACTGTAGGTACAATGTTATTGATACAGTGATAATTAGTGAGCTTTAGAGGTGTTTTTTTAACCTTTAGACAGAGCCAGGCTAGCAGTTTCCCCCAGTCTTAATGCTAAGCTAAGCTAAATATCTGCAGACTGTAGCGTAAAATTTGACCAACAGATATAAAAATGGAATTGTTCTTATCATCTAACGATCACCACTGAATGAGTCCTGTCATTTCTTTGAATGTGGGTAAGTGCGGCGGTGGGGGCCGCAAAAAAAACTGCGAAGAGTTGTTAAAGCAAAAATAAACTTTTGGAGAAACACAACCCGACGTCGCGTCGCGCCTATCACTTTCCCGGCGATCCAGAGTTGTGCGACCCTGCCGTGACGGAACAAGAGATGTTCGTCGTCATGCATTCAGTTGGAGTCAATGGGCCATTGAGTGACACTCCCACACCATTGTTGTTGTGAATGTTTAATTATTTCACACGTTATTACTCCTCTATTACTCCTTTCAACCCTGACAAAGGTGGAGGTTAAAGAAACTAACTGGGTGGCGTCTCTCTCTAGATGGTTGGTGCCTGGAGGCGTTCACTTTGGCCCAGGGCCGGATGCTGGAGGAGCTGACCAACGTACTGATCATGTTGGTGGTGGGGAAGGTGTGTACAAGGCCGCCGAGTTACTGTCTTTACACCCAGGCCGTAACAAACAAGTAGTCATGTGATCCATTGTCACAAAAATATTGATCATGGGTGATTTAAAAAAAAAAATAGTCAAATGTTAAATTGACATTGTTACACAAAGGGCAGAAAAGTCGTGCTGTGCAATTTTACTGAAGATGAAAAATAGAAAGTTCTTGACTTTCACTAACGGAACTTTTCTCCATTCTTATACGATACAACTGAAGGTGGCTCACTACCAGCTGATGAAGTACAAGGCAGTCAGAGTTTTTGTCCAGAGAAGAGAGTACCTCACCTGGCCGGAGGACCCTCAGGACCTGGAGTGGTTTTATGAGCGCCTCATCTCACAGATACTCAGAGACACCAAGGTGAAAGAGTTGGCAGAGGAGAAACCTGAGCCCGACATCCGACCTCACAATGAGGACGCTATCCAGCTTGAGGACATCAGAGCGAACGCCGTGTGAACTCCTGACTGTGTGTGGAAGAAAAGCGTTAACCAAGATCACCTGTTGAATCAGCACCAACATCCAGCTCGCCGGAGTGTCCCCAGTGAGACAGCACTACGGGTATCACCAACCTTCAGAGGAAGTAAAGGCAAAGACTGAGTCGTGCAGAACTTGTTTGGTCCTGAACAGTTTTGCCTTTTAATTTTGATGTATTTAGGCAATCTGTGGTAAGATATTAAATATATATACAGTATATACAGCGGGTAAAATAAGTATTGAACACGTCACCATTTTTCTCAGTAAATATATTTCTAAAGGTGCTATTGACATGACATTTTCACCAGATGTCGGTAACAACCCAAGTAATCCACACATACAAAGAAATCCAAACAAATTAGTTCAGAAATTAAGTTATGTGGAATAAAATGGAATGACACAGGGAAAAGTATTGAACACGCTTACTGAAATGTATTTAATACTTCGTACAAAAGCCTTTGCTGGTAATGACGGCTTCAAGACGCCTCCTGTATGGAGAAACTAGTCGCATGCATTACTCAGGTGTGATTTTGGCCCATTCTTCCACACAAACAGACTTCAAATCTTCAAGGTTCCGTGGGCCTCTTCTATGAACTCTGATCTTTAGTTCTTTCCATAGATTTTCTATTGGATTCAAGTCAGCTGATCGTCTGGGCCATTCTAGCAGCTTTATTTTATTTCTCTGAAACCAGTTGAGAGTTTCCTTGGCTGTGTGTTTGGGTTCATTGTCTTGCTGAAATGTCCACCCTCGGTTCATCTTCATCATCCTGGTAGATGGCAGCAGATTTTTATCAAGAATGTCTTGGTACATTTTTCCATTCATCCTTCCTTCAATTATATGAAGTTTGCCAGTGCTGTATGCTGACAACCCACACCATGATGTTCCCACCTCCAAACCTCACTGTTGGTATGGTGTTTTTGGGGTGATGTGCAGTGCAATTTCACCTCCAAACATGGTGTGTATTATGGCATCTGAAGAGTTCAATTTTGCTCTCATCTGACCAGACTCTATTCTCCCAGAATTTCACAGGCTTGTCTAAATGTTGTGCAGCAAACTTTAAACAAGCTTCAACATGCTTTTTCTTCAGCAGTGGAGTCTTGCGTGGTGAGCCTTGGCTCTTGCACAACTCTTCTGATGATTCATTTCACTCCTCTGTCGGAAATCTTTCGAGGAGAACCTGATTGTCGCCAGTTTGTGGTGAAATGATGTTCCTTTCACTTCCGGATTATGGCCACAACAGTGCTCGCTGGAACATTCAGAAGTTTTGAAATCTTTCTGTAACTATTGTCATCAGTATGTTTTGCAACAATAAGGTTGCGAAGGTCTTGAGACAGCTCTTTGCTTTTACCCATCATGAGGTGTTTCTTGTCGATACTTATTTTACCCGCTGTGTGTGTGTGTATATATATGTGTATCTATCTATCTATCTATCTATCTATATATCATTGTCCACATTTACAGCCCTCCATGGCAATGAGAAGAAATGATTAAGTTATTATGTTGTTGGAATTAATAAAGTGTTAACTGAATGAAATGTTTCCGATGAATGAAGTGTAATAACAGTAAGCATCTGCTCGTCAGCTGTTCTCGCTAATATCTCTTTTTCTTTCTTTTTGTAATTACATTTTTTTTGAATAGGCAATATGTTTACAAACACGCTTCAACAACTTTACAAAAATCCCTCTTACAGATTTTTATATGCATGTAAATATGCTTATGCACAGAAAACCAAACATATTAACGCGTCAGTATTTTGTGTGTCGTAACTCAGGAGAAGTCTCATTCCTTCACTTCCAGTAGTACACGTCCGTGTCAACTTATTCATTTTAAATATTGCCAAAATTGCTTTAATTAATGCTTCATTGCATTGCTTCCAGTGTAGGTGGTCTGTTCTCACTAATATCGAATGCGTTGTTCTCTCCAGCAGCCTGCAGGATGAAGCAGATCCCCAGAGACTGGCTGTGGTTGTTAATCACTGCAGCTCAATGCAGACCTGAACATGGCCGTGTTGAAAAAGTTATTGGCCAGTTTGGCTTGTCGACATGTGGAGCTGCTCTTGATCTTATGATCCCTATAGTTGCATGGTTTCCGGGAATGCCGCCTCAGACTTCAAGTGTATAACACTTCAAATATACAAACATTGCAATACTTTCATCAGCGGGCCGTCGGACAAATCTCCATCGTGTTACGTCGTTCGGCGACAGACGGTGACTCAACAGACATGTATTTAAATGGAAAGCTCCACCATAGCAACTTAAACTGAAGACGCCTTTTGAAATTCATCTTCCAGCTGGTCCACGAGATTCCTGAGGCTTTAAGTGAAACCGTCCAATAACAGAATGCTTGAGTCGTGAAAAGAGTCTCTCAAAGTATAAGATTTGTTTTCATGGTTGCATCAGAACTCCTATAAAACTCTCTTTAAATCCATTCAATAGGATTTTCTTTTTTTGCTCCTAATCTCTGCCTTGGGTTTGGTTCACCCAACCTAAACCTCCATTTAAATGATTACATCATCATTACAATCGTCCCATTTTCCTTTTTTTATATCACAGAAATAGAACCCCCAAAAATAAATCCAGAAAAAGGGAACAACTGTTCAGGTGCCTGATTGGATGAAAGGACCTCTTTTGTATTTGTATGTACTACTTTCACCACTAGATGGCGCGTGTCGTCTTTACTGGCTCTTCACGTCAAGTCTGGAGGGATCAGTGAAAACTAGTGCTAATTAGTGAGGGACCCCATGAAGACTGTTTCTAGTGACACCCATCCAACAAAGACTCCTTCTAATTGTTTCATTATAACATCGGCAGCAAAGGATTCCATCTCTCTGTCAGCACTGTGTTGGGTGTGTTGGACTCTGCGATGAGAGGGAATCTGGGGGTCAGCAGGTTCTTCTTTCATTTCAGCGGCGTGTCCGAAAACAGGAAGCCGCTCGGCAGAGGGAGCGCTTCCGTCCTGTTGGCCCCGGCCGCCTCCGTCCTCCCAGCCTTTATGAGGCAGCTGTTGGGAACATTACAGCCCCACCCGCAGGCTGCTGCTGCTTATACACTGTGGACAGTCCATTAGTCTCAGCTCATCATGCAGTTCTTTACATTTTCTGGGATTTGTACCAGTTTTGGACCTGGATGTCAGTATGCAAAATGTGGGGATCTAATAGCTATAAATGCCCAGAAAGCCTTCTGTGAATGCAACGATAATAAATCATTTGGGATAAATTATTAAAATGAAAAAAAAAGAAAAAACATTTTCACATGCACTAAAAGCGTGCACCGCCGGCCCGGCTATTATAACACACTTTATTCTCTGCTCAGGTAGACATCCCTCCTCTACGTCTTTACACAGACAATAGCTGTTTGTGGCTTTATTAATGCTCTGAATATCGTACAGAGAACCTTTACAATCCCTTTAGGGCCTTATGCAGCTTTCTGAGACCAGGATCCCACCAAACATGCTCCCTTGGGGTCCGTGGTGGAGGCCCACCGTCGGGCTCCTTTAGCGCTGTGAAATGCGAGGCACGTGTTGGCCCCACACTGAGCAGTGGGGGCAAACTGTGGGCATTAAGGTTTGATGTTGAGGAGAGTAGGCAGTAGATAAATGATTAAATATGTGCCAAGACCAAAGAACTAGTTCATTTGGTAAGTAAAAGAAAAATTGAAGACATTTTTTATTTATTTATTTTAAATTTGAAAAAGCTTTTCCCTTACAATTTTTTAAATTAAGAACCATATTCTTGTAACTTTCATTTAAATTGTTTTTGACAGTTTCAAGACTCCTTGGACAAAAAGATCAATGAAAATGAATAATTACAAAATCTGCTCCTCTGCTGATCAAACGAGAGAGAAACCACTGTTCCACTTCCGTATCTCTGGCTCCACCAAGATCTCATTTGAAAAGTGGAAGCAAATGTTGACCTTGTAAACGAGCTCTCCAGCTCGCCGTCCTCAGTTATTCCAGGCCGGCAGAATGTACTGAGAACAGACACGCAGGCCTCTGAGCTTCTCCCTGGCTGGGGGAAATGTAATAAACCCTGCCCCCATGGACGCAGTTAATATTTGACCTGTTTGAGCAAATATAATTACAGGGATGCTCAAGCACAAGCCTGCGGAGGGATCCTCTGAGGGAAGGGGGCTCATCTTCACTGCAGTGAGGAGGAGGAGGGGGTCTGAGGCTGAAGGGGAACACAAACTGATCTCTGTCAGCCAAGAATAAAGTCTTTCCTTCGACTCGGGAGCATCAAGCGAACCCGTGTGGGCGGTTTACTTATGTAATGTTTTATGGGGCTTGTTTGTGGAAGTTTGTTCTGGGGTTGAGGGGCGTTGAGGGGATGAGAGGGAAAATAACCAGCAGAAGCACAGCTGTACTTTTCCTCTGGAGCTCAATCTGAGACTCATCCCTCAATTCTTCCAGCTGCTGCTTGGAGCCAAGATTGTGGTTGAAAGTAGTTGAAGCTAATGCTGATGATGAGTTAACACCCCGTAGCCACAACAAGTGAAAAGTGTCTGGGAAGCAGAAATAATAAAGCACTAAATTAGAGATGTCAGAGCAGCTCAGTGAGGAGAAGAAGAGAGGTGGGATCTCTGGAGTGAACTGCTTCCTGTGAACAGGACGATCAAAAAGAGATGACGAGCTTGAGTTTGGTGCTTCAGTCGCCTGTCCATAAAACAGTCTTTGTGAATGACTGGGTTGGGACCCACAGGTGGGTCGCAGGACTATTTATTAAAATAAATTAGCAGAATTTCTTCCATAGACTTCCATTTAACATTTCTATCTGCAGTTCACTTTTGAGCCACATGAGGGAGCCTGAATGTTCGTATTGTTCTGATAATTGTAGCTACTAATAACACCGCTTCTAATGTAAAAGCCTAGCGTATTCGGTTAAAAGAATGAGGTCATCCGTTATGTTTAGGTGGCTACATTTGGTCTCATTGAAGTATTTAACATGCATTTATGTTTCCAATAGTGTGTGTGCATGAAACAAAGTTGATTCATCAAACGTACAGTACATCTCTTCTAAATGTCTGGCACTAATTCCCTCTTCACACGATGTGCAGAGATCAGGCCTGCTGTGAACTGCACTCAGCCGGGATGGATTCAGTAGCGCAGAGAGAGAGAGAGAGAGAGAGATTGATTGATTGATTGATTGATTGAGTTGTGTCCTGTTTAGATGGACTGCTCAATAAGGGACAGTTCAAGTCTGAGGGGAATCTGTCTCTTTTACAGTGTTTACCAGAGCTCTTCACTTTGATTCGGATAAATCTCTGCGTTCATCCCTACGAGACTCGTCTCTCTCTCTCGTTATTGTAAACATATCGATTGCAGCTGTTTTAAACGCTGAATGTGAACAATATTGGAGAAGGCTAATAAACGAACTGCAGTCATAAAACGGCTCCCGTTTCAAAGACGAAACAGTCAGCAGATTCTGTTCCAATGTTGCCCTGGAAATATTACATAAACAGTAATAATATACATTTGTTGAACTGCGGCTGGGTCGCTTCCTTGGTGCTTTTCATACCAGAGCTGTAATGAAAGCGGTCTGCCTCAGCAGGCCCAACAGTTCAGAGAAGTCCTCGCTGCTGATGTGTAATGAATCTACACATCTATTGACTCCTAAAATCATTACGGTTATTTATTTTTATGCCATTCCCAAATTGAAAAAGTTGCTGCTCAGAAATGCTGCAGATTGACTCTGAGAAGAAGAGATCTGTGTCACCAGCAGCAATAGTCTGGTGTAAATCAAGTCTACATGAGCATAAAGAGCAGGCCGGTTTAAATCCAGTCGCTGACCTCAGGTCAGGTGTAACCAATAGCACTGAAGCTGCCGGCGGTTACGAGACAATGAAACAGGTGTAGGCTGCTGTGATTAAAGATGCAGCTTCTTCTGTGAACGGGGCCTCCTCCCATTTTATGGTCCGAGCGTGCGTATGTGCGTGTGTGTGTACAACAGACAGGAAGAGCGGACAATGGGGACATAGAGTGATAAAATAAAAAGACATTTTAATCATACAGTACATCTTTTATCTGAGGCGTGTGGAGACAGGATTGAACACTCGACTCCCACCAAGACTAAAAAAAAAAGGTGTCTTTTTTTTCACTGACTTGTAAAAATGTGGCACATTTTCGTTCCGGCTGATGTGATCATATCTGACGACAAGTACTGACAATTAATCACAATATCACAATATATACTATACCATTTTATGTCAGTGCAAACGGCGGCTGTATGAGTATATTAAACACTGTAGTTAGCAAAATTCCATGACGGTGCTTTTGGGAAAAGACCGGTAATTTCCCATAATTATATAGCTTTAGCAACAGTGTAAAATGGAAGACATAATGTGGCACGTGAAGACCTGGTGAGTAGAAAAAAGACATGTAAACAGATTATAGTTAGTAGGGCTGTGCTGCTTGGTGGAACACATTGAGGCACTTGGTAAGCAAACGCGTCACAAACCTTGTTCGATTGCACAGACAGACATTATGTGTCAGTCCATTTTTTTTTTTTTTGCTACTTGTTCTGGATATCGAGTGTTTATTAAAATATGAATTTGTCATCAACATAAGCTTTCAGAAGAGGGGTTGGTAGTGATCGCAATAGGAGGCACGCTGGTTTCAGTTCTTGGCACGCTGAACTCTGAAGCTGAATTGCACTTCACTTTCAACGTCCTGTTAAAACAGTAGAGTTTCTTTGGAGAGGCGGAGGACGCCCGCTGTCTTTTGGAGTTCCGCTTGCACTTTTTGACGCTTTCCTCCCGTGTGACGGAAATACTTTTGAGCTTCTCCTGGTTGCCAGGGATTCTACAACAAGCGTCAGTTTGTGGGGTTGGATCTGTAGTTGTGGATACGTGGTTATCGCCGCAACAAAGGTCACTGTCCCTTCCCGTCTGTCTTTCATGTCTGCTTGTGTGTGGTGAGCACGGTGAGGGGGAGGAGGGGCACCGAGTCTGAGCTTGCGTCAGGGCTGGGGTGCTGATATTTTGGCTACTGTCGAGGCTTGAGGGCCCCGTTTCGTTTCTGTGGTCGTCCTCGTGTCCAGCAGGCTCTGAGCCAGGAGCCGGGTCCGTGTCCTGGTTCAAAGCCGCGGTTGTGGGTCTCTGCTCTCTAGCTGAACCAGCCTGCAGGGTTGCCGTGTGGACGCAATACTTCCTGAAATGGCAGCTGTGGGCAGGTCCTTGCCTGGGGGCCACTACTCTTCCCTGGGAGCAGTGGTGGAAATGGGAGGGGGGGCAGTGGACATAGTGCATACGGCACTCTGTATGTGTGTAGACCGGGTCCAGGTTTGTAGGGAACAGAGGTGGGTTTTGTGTGCCCGGGGTGTTTCCTGAGAGCGGGAGGAGCTGTGGGGTGGGGAGGCAGGAAGGAGAGTCCTGGGGAGGCTGAGCACAGGAGTGGGGGGTCCACTGCTGAGACGGGTGGTGAGCAGGTGAGGGGTCCCCGCAGGTGCAGTTAGCGTTTTGAGAGTACTGGCACCTGGATTTTGTGCTCTGTGCGGCCACGAGGCCGTTCTCAGGGCCGGTTCTGCCGGTCTCGGTTTTGCTCTTGTAATAGATGTGGGAGTAAGGGCCATTGTGGTGCTGAGGTGGGATTCCATTGTAGAGCTGAGCACACACCTCCTGCTCCTCTCTGGGTATATCTTCAGTCTTCTGACCGGAGGCCAGGGGCTCCAACTCGTAATGCTCCACCTCCCCACCCCTGCTGTCCAGCTGGTACTTCCCCAGGCCGGAGCCTTTCCCTTGAGGTGAGGGGCTCATGGATGTGACCTCGGAGAACACCTGGCACTGCATCTTTTTGGGTAGGGGGATCTGGCCGCAGGTCCCCTGGGGTCCCAGACAGCGACACATGCACTGAAAGAAGAAGGTGGCAAAGGCCCAGCTGATGCACATGATCAGCATCATGAACGTGCCCAGCTGGGTGTAGGCCAAGACGGTCGAGGGCATCATCATGGCACCGGCAACAAAGGTGGTCAGTGCCGCCATGGCGATGGCAGAGCCCATGCGGCTGAGGGAGAAAATTACCTTTCCCTCGCGGTCGGGCTCAGGGGCGAGCCGGTAGGCCACGCCGTAGTGGACGGCGAAATCCACGGAGAGCCCAACCGCAACGGATATGGTGACGGACTCCAGGACATTCAGTTCCCAGCCCAGGAGCACCAGGGACCCGACCGTGACGAAGATGGTGCCAGCGATGGACAGGATGGCATACAGACTGATGATGACATTCCAGGTGGTCAGCAGCATAACGCTGAAGGCCACAGCCACCGACAGCGCCATGGCAACCAGAGTGCCGTCCGACAGGCTGTCCTGGAGGTCGTAGAATTCCAGGTTGCTGATGAACCAGCCGTGGCTGAGGCCTGTTGGGGCATTCCGGAGCTCCTCAGCGATCCAGGCATCCACCTGGAACAGAACAACGGTCGTTAATGTCAGAAGAACCAAAGCAGATACAAAACGTATCCTTTACATATAAACACCTAGGTACTACAACCTCAAGGTAGAACTGGTACATCTTCTCATAGGCCAGGGTGAAGAGGTAGGTGCTCTTGAACTCCAACACTATGGCTCTGATGGTGTCGTTGATGTCGAATCGAGGTCCGGGGGTCTTGCTGTCTAAATGGTAGTTCGTACTCCGATCCAGCTCCATGATGGCCCTCTTGATACACAACTCAAAGACTTCCTGCTTGTAGGGGAAGGTGGACTGACTGCAGCAGGGGTAGACGGAAGCCTCCTCACAGTCCTGGTTCTCCATCCACTGTTGACAGAAGGAGGGGTTTGAAGTTCATTATATTCAGTGGAATTTTCAAAATGAAACCACAGTAATTATACCGGGTAGTGTCAGTAAGATGTCCTTCAATGTATACATGTATATACTTAGTACAAATTGAGCACTGACCTGTTTGAACGTCTCAATGAAGCAGCTGGTGAAGTCCTGCTCCTCGGACTGAAAGATAAAGCTCTGATTTCTCAGCTTCTGGCAGAAGTTGAGGATCCACAGCTGAGAGGCTGGACTGGCAATGTTAAAGCTGCTGTCCAGTATTAGCTTTCCCTTGTTCTTTGGGTTCAGGGGGTCACCATTATCCACGGGCATCACGCCCCAGATGATGGTGATAGGCATGTGGAGGTCCTCGCCGTGATGAACCCTCTCGAACATGAAGAGCTTCTTGTACTCGGCGTCGTAGCGCTCGAACGGGTGCGAGGAGCGGAACACCTGAAACTCTGCCAGCTCCAGAGACGGGAGCTTCATCTTTGGGTTGACGCAAACCACATAGGCCCCGCCCACCGTAATGGCGAGGAACCCGAAGAGCCAGAGGTAGCGCAGTTTGATGACGATGCAGGGCAGCACCTTCTCGAAGAAGATCCGGGACCCCTCTGAGGCGGTGAACAGGCAATTGTTGGCCTTCTGACAAAGACCTGCCCAGAAAGTCCGGGTGCAGTAACCCCTTTGTGGGTGCGGAGGCTTGGTGCAGGGGAACATGCTGGGCAGGTAGCGTTCATGTAGCACCACCACAGCCGGGAGCCACGTCACCATGAGAATATAGTTCACCAATATGGCGGTGCCTGCGTAGACACCAAAACAGCGTATGGCGGTGATGTTGCTGACGTAATTGGCATAAAAAGCGGCAGCGGTGGTGAAGCTGGTGACGAACATGGACAGCGCAGCGTGTTGTAGCGTCACACCGACCGTCTCGGCCAGCTCAGCGTGTGGTTTGTCGAACTTGGTGTAGTTCCACACATCGCAGAGCACGAAGGCGTCATCCGCGCCGATGCCGACCAGGATGATGAGGGCCGTGAGGTTCATGAAGGGGAAGAACTCAAAGTTGAAGACCAATCGGTAAAGAAAGTACGACACGATCAGCGAGCTGATGATGGCTATTATCGTCATCAGAGTGATGAAAACGGAGCGTGTGTACACGCACATGACCAGCAGGACGATCACTATGGCTATGGCGGGGTACACTGTGTCCGTCAGGAGGTAGTCCTGGAAGAGGTCGTGTTTGATGCCGAACTCGATCCCTGTGACTGTGGTGATGCCGTCTGAGGAGTTCCAATTCTCGAAATTGTCTAAGTAAATGTTCATCATCGACTCTCCTTTCTCTGTGGGCGAGAAGAGCATGCTGTGTTTGAGCACGGGCAGAGAGTACTCCAGGCTCTTGGTACTGAGGAAGTCTTTGTCCACCAGGAAGTGAAGAACTTGGTAGACGGCATTGTACTTGGTGCACTTCCGGGGCACGGTGCCGCACTTGAGCTGGTCTTTCCTTCGCAGGGCTATGTCCCAGCAGTCGGGTACCAGCGTGCCGTTGTGGTAGTACTTGGCGCATGAGCGCAGGATCTTGAGCGTGTGCGATACGTCGCGCTCTGTGATCTTCTGGCAGGACGACCTGTTGGCGAGGGCGGCAATGTAGTTGCCGAGCGTCCAGCTTGGACAGCAGGAGGCGTCATTGGTGCGCTGACAGAGACTCCAGTAGTCGCGATGGGAACGCACCTGGGAACGGAGAGAAAAAGTGAATTGACAAATAAATAGAAATCCTGTATCATCACCAGTCTGGAGGATTGTGCTGTCCTACGCACCCTTGTGTTGTCCAGATTGCACATAGATTTGATAGCCTGAATACTCCACAGGTTCTTCCCCTCAGCTGATGTGAACACCAGTCTAGAGTAACGGTCACCTGCATAAGGAAAAGACCTTTGTTACTCAAATGGGAATACCATCTTTCTTGAGTTAATAAAACTTAGGACATATGAGACAATTCTACCATCTGACTGAAAACCCCCCGTTACAAACAGATATGCAGCTATACTGTGAGCCTACTTGCGTAAACAGTACATTTTGTAGATTACTTTTATTTTAATTCCACTCAAAATACATATTAATATATTTGTAATTTTTACATGTGTTGTACTGAGGTTCATGTGAGTTCACCCAGGATCCTTTGGGGGCTGTTTGGGACTTTCAGGGAGCCTTTTGGTTGTTCTTTATCATCTGGTCTAAATCGGATTGGTGTCACTTCCGTATTCTTACCTGGCACATCACAGAAGAATTCTTTACTGAAGTCCCACTCTGCTTGCCGTTTGTCTCTTTCAAAGTGGTCCTCGGGCCATCTGGGTTCTTGGTGACTAAAAAACAATAATAATAATTTAAAAAAGAAAGATTAGCACCATCCACATTACTTAGATGTTTGTTTTATTCAATCAGCCAGAAAGGCAACTTTAAAAAAACATGGCCATTCATTTTATGCTTGAAACTAGAATCACTGCCTCGCAGTCATGTGGCAGTTTACACGTGCGTCCCCGAGTGTGCACATCTGTGTCTGTCCACGGGGAGTCTCGCATTCTGCTGCAGCAAACTGTGTAATCATTTGGATGGCCAGTTATTGCTGCTTGCTCGAGGACTTCTCGTGGTCAATAACATCTTTTATTGCTTGTTTTATACTGCCACTCACTCACTACTCTTAACCTGGCCGGTAGGGGGTCGCTAGTAACACAGCGGAGTGCATCTTGACCCCCAGCTGCTACTGTGCGGCCAGAGACTCAGTTACCTATTGTCGAAAAACAAGACTTGGAGCATATAGAAACCATAGACTGTATATAAGAAGTGGATGCAGTCATCGTGACGTCACCCATTGGTTTGTGGACTGACGTTTTGAGGCCTTGACTTCGGTGTTTTCGCCGTCGCCATCTTGGATTACGGCCATTGCCATGTTGTTTTTTTTGCAACCCATGAACGGAAGTTACCATTTTTGGAATGCGGAGGAGTGACGCAGAGACGGCGTATACGTCTCTGGTAGCGGCAGCGACCTGTCAATCACAGTAAGCCCGCCCTAAAGCATACTCTGCTTTTTTTTTTGCTGATGCCCTGCAGAGGCTCACAGTGCATTCTGAGAAAGAGCAAAGGAAGACTCGTCGCAGGATTCTATACACAGTGGACCTGCTGTGTCCGAGGCTGCAAAGTCAACGTGATACAAAATGAAGGAAGCAGATCTGATGCTTAGTAATGAAATAACCAGCAGTAATTGCTGGTCCCCCCCCCCCCCCCCACCGAAATCAGATGAATGACGCAATGCAGTAGTAGCATACTGGTGTCATTAAAATAATAATCATAATAGTGGCTCTGATTGAACAGGGGGCCCCCGAGAGAGAGGGGGGGGGGGGGGTGCAGACAAGTCTTTGGCGTACATGTTTGCATTGTGTTCTTTCTGCAAGAATGATGCGGCGGCGGAGTGCAGGGTAGTGAAGGTGCCTGCATGCCAGCAAACGAAGGAGGATTACGCTTCAGACAGGCCTTCTTTCAGTGTGTCTCCGGAGCCCCCCAAAGAAAAGCCTCCAAACAGGAAGGCAGAGTCATCAGGTGGCTGTCAGAGAGAGACCGAGGGGGTTGACAGACGGAGGGGGACGAGGCAGGGAAGCTCGTTGACAGCAGCAGAGGCCTCTGGTGGGCGCTCCGTACGCACACAATTACATCCGCGGACAGATGCGTGCAGCGAGACAGAGGGGGAGGACAAAGGGAGCCACAGACGCAGCAGAAAGGATCCATTTTCTAATCAGCACAGTGGAGATGCAGTTTTTTTCTTAACAACATGGATATATATACACGTCAGCGTTGTGGTTATCATATATTGATTTTTTATCCCGTTTAAGCCACATTGTTACAATACATTTTTAGATCTCTGGGTTTTTACGGGATGAAGGACTTTCGACGTGAAGCCATGAACCTTTGTACGCTGAACTTGTTTTTACGTGACACTGCTTTATTCAGTGTTCTTACCGGTTTTAATCACCGGGTCCGGGTGTTTCGGAGAGGAGATCTCTGCAGTAACAACCTCCTGAACGTTGAACACTGAAGGAATCCAAACCTCGAGAAGCTGACTGCAATGAAGCAATGAATGACTACTTCAGGACACGACCAAGCACCGTCGTTTGTTACTCGAGTTTTGATTGAGAGCAGAACCTGACATATTGTGCGTTTAATTGGTAGTTAGGGAGATGCCTAAATCCAGGCTAAACTAAAGCCAATACAGCTCAAATATTAATAGAAGCAGGAAAAACAGATCTGACATTGAGCATTAATTTGACTTGAAGAGAGACACCAGACAGAGAGAGAGAGAGAGAGAGACAGACAGAGAGAGAGACAGAGAGAGAAACACAGACAGTCTCACAGACAGACTCACAGACAGAGAGACAGACAGAGAGACTCACAGACAGAGAGACTCACAGACAGAGAGACAGACTCACAGACAGAGACACTCACAGACAGACAGACTCACA